GTTCTTGGATCGTGGACACAAGGCTTTACATCACGATGATATTTCCTTCGACAATAATGTAAAGAGTAGTAAGAAGTAGTATGTAGTAAAGGTCAATGTCCACGGTGCTAAAACTTTGTCCAAGTTCTAGCATCGTGGACACAGGCCTTAAGAGTAGTAGTATGTAAGAAATATTTAAGGAACAGTACTAAAACTTGAGGTCTTACCCAATGAGAGCATATTTATTTATGAACAATAATAAATGTTGATTGGCTTTGTTAGTTATTTGTTATTTATCATTTTAGTGTATAAGGGACATTCTACTGCTGGGTCACAGACAGGCCTTCGCCTGGATCGACGAGTGGTATGACATGACCCTGGAAGACGTGCGGCAATATGAGCAAAAGATGCAAGCCGAAACGAATGAAAAGGTCAGGCTGAAAAATCAACTAGATGAGAAACCGCCCGGCACCCCGTCCTCGTCTATGCCAACCACGCCGAAATCGCCCACACAGAGATCGTGGTTTTCCTGGTCGTAGCTACAATTAGTGCAATCGATTTCGGGCTCTGCGGCAGCGTTTTGTCTCTTAGGTTAATATCATACGTAAATATACGAGGAAAATGAATGGCATTCTCTATTGCTCGTGCCCATTCTTTACCCGTCTCAGAGAATGCGCAATCAATCGTGACATATTATTTAAATAAATTTTATATTATTAGCTTAAACGGTGGTCTTATTGCAGTAAGACTTTCAGTACAATTCTCCTAAAAATATAAGAAAAGTAATTTTAGAAATAAATATAAGTAAAAAAATTAGCTTTAATTTTACGTAAATTAAAATTAAGTAAAGCTAATAACAATTTATTATTATTATTCTAGTTTAAGTCAACCTTTTTTTGTGAAAGAAAAAGCGAGGAGAATTAAAAAATAATTATCAATAATGACTTTAATTTCGTATAAAAGAAAACATTAATATTGTTTTCATTAAAGAAATATGTCTCTAATTGATTGCTGCATTTTTTGGAATGTCCTATATACATAGGTGTAGTTCCATACACGTTCCATATGTAGGCTTACCGTGAAACAATTTTTACTTATGTACTTTCTTATTATAGAGGAATACACCTGAAACTGTCGTACTCTAAATACGATTATACAGTTAAATTTTAGGACTGCCTAAAGAAAGTTGGTCTAAGCTCTCTTTGTTCCACAAAAATGGCAATAGTTAAGTTTAAATTATGAAGTTCAACAGCACACTCTTGTCACACCTTATACCTGTGAATAAATTTCATCTATGTTTTGTTCACGCATTAGTAATAAATTATTTTTACCATGTAAAATTCTGTAGCGTAACTTATTTACAATGTATCGAACTTTTATTTGTATTTCGATGTGTAGAGGCACTGGAAAATGTATGAAAATATATGTGTTTGCAAATAATTCCTTACTTGTTTAAATAAATATATCATTGTTACATATTCATTGTTATAATTCATCAGGTACAATTTACCAGTTTTAATTAGACCGTTAATCATTACCATTTACGAGCATGTAGACGCACATGTGGACGTAATATTTTAAATTAAAGTACAATTGAGTTATTCAGTCAATTTCACATAGACAAAATTGCAACGATATAAGTACAGTAATTTGTAAAAATTCGCGCGTTTGTTTATCAAATTTTTAATTAGGATTAGCAATTGCCGGATGCAACCTGCCAACGACCGGACGTTGTAACGGCGTAATAAGAACGCGTGCCATTTCGCCAACATGACCTGTCAGCAAAATTTTATTGAATCGTTAGCAAACGCTCAAATTATGGATACTCCTACTAAAGTTCATTAATAAAAAATTAATTAAAATAACACGAATATTCTCTACAAAATAATAATGAAAATCTATGTACTAATAAAATGGAAATATCAATTAATAATATCTTACAAATATTACAATGATCTCTAAGCCGCACAATAGGATACAATAGTGAAAATTCTTGCCATCTCGTTAATTCTTCAGACTCTCCTTGCGAGGTCGAAGTTGTCTAAAAACGAATAATGGATAACCGTGACTGTTTTAGAACATTTTTCAGTGAACTAGAAATTGTTCTAAAAATTATTTTAACCCTAACTTATGTAAGCACGTAATTAGTTAAGCTTAAAATAAATGTTAATGGGTTTTCAACTGCTTTTCTTACATTAGAGTAACTTGTTGTGGAATTTATGGTTTCTATATTAATGCTATGCTGTTCATCACGACGAAGTTGCGCGGCGGCTTCCGTAATTAATTCGCTGAATCTGGCTGCCACTTGTTTCCATCTTATCAAGTCACCAGGCTGCAAAATAAGGCCAAAACAAATTACCTGAGAGAAATATTTAATGTGCAATAAACTTTTTAAATTAAAATAAAAAAGAAATTCTATTAAGTCTATGATTTTTAATACTAAAAATGTTTATATAAAACAAGTTAATTTGGTGAAATTAACTTAAAATGTCTTTTAGCATTAAAATCGTAAATAATATATTATTACGGATAAATTAAAAAACACTGGTAAAAGCGCGACAGGTAATGGAGATCCACGCAATTCGGAACATTCGGATGGAGGTCCTGAGAGAGTTAAGTGTCTTAAAAGATCCAAGACATGGGTCAGGAGTTCGCTATGGCGACCACCGACATCCTGTCTAATCAATCCTAAAGCATCTTGTGCGATAACTTGATCTTCCACGCCTGGATTGTCAGCTAATTAAACATCGTACAAAACATTTCTTTAAACTTTGCTATATTATTTACACACATAGAATATATAAAATTTTGGAAATATCTAAAAAATTGAAAAATTGATGGAAATCTCTTAAATTAATTGATTAAACACATAGAAGGATTAGTTCTCATTAGAATTTAAATTTCTCATAAATCTTTCACGTTAGCATAATTCACCAGAAGTGACATTTTGCTGACGATGAATTTGTAAACGTTCATCAACGAATACTGCGTTCTTTTTTTAAACGATGAATTATAATCATAAGGAATATCCATCGTTATTCTTTTACACAATCTAATAGCATCTTATAACTTTCACTTTTCATTTATATTTACCAAGGATCAATTCTTGTACATGTTGTGGCATAATCGGTTTTTTTAAGCGGCTGAGAAAAATTTGTAAAGCCGCCGCGCATTCCAGAGCTACGTTATTCGAATCTTCAAAATGCGGTTTATGGCCTTTCTTCAGAGAATTTAGAATCTGCCGCCGGACCTCACAACGTCCTGCTCGTCGAAACAGCCCTTCCACTCTAGCATCTTTTGCACAGAATTAAAACAATTGTTGAATCATCATATTGTTAGAACACACGAATTTGTGATACCTGGAATAAACTTACGCTCTTTCAAAAAATGTATGAGTACTTTCACCACGTCTAAAGACTTCTGCGATATTATGTCGTCACCTGCATCCTGCCTGAAGATTAAGAAAATGTGGAAGTGAACGTTAAAACAATTAAATAAACAAACCATTCGCTTGAAAATTAACGGAAGTATATAAGAAGCGATTCCGCAACGCGGAAACATTTTTGTTCTCAGCATCGCATGTTCTTGCTACATCCTTCGCATACGAGCTTATAAAGAATCGTCGTGATTCCCTTATACAAGTTTTTCAAGTATGTCGAGACAACTTTCTCGTTGCTATTTGTTATTTTATTTGTCCGCGAGCGCGATTCTAGCTTGCGGATCTCCCCGAAGAATTCCTAGAGGAGCATCATGTCCCTCGTGCAGTCAAGACTGTCCAGAAGCCTTAACCGTCCAGCTACCATGGTAAGAATATAATTCAAATTCAAATCAGACTACAGAGAAGTTAGAAACTGACGAATCTAAGGACTTAAATTTCCAATCTCAGGATCAAACACAATAAAAACTTAAAATTCACCCAAGATATGTCTCTAAAAAGTCTAGAATTTTTGAGAGATTTAGTCACAGAATATAAAAAATTAAAAGTTACGAATCTTTATAGAATGTTTTTACAAATCTAATGAGCGAAAACAATTGCGACAATGTTTCAGGAATCCTCGTCAAGAATCAAATCTGCGAGACTTTTCCATCAATCCGCTCCAAAATTCCCCTAACTCTCGCTTGATACAACAAGAATTCTCCCAGGATATAGCACGCGATGACAACATTCCACTGAGTCGAAATTCGATGTCCGGAAACTATAGAAGATTCCTTCAACCTACGAGGGAGAATTTCTTTTTTAGAAACTATCCTAACAATTCTCCGAAATCCTTTGGCAGACAAGAGATATTTTCTGAGGACAAACCTACGAGAGAGTATCCTCTTATCCCATCAAACCAAATTTTCGATAGATCGGAAAATTTATTCTTCAGAAATCCTCGCAATAAATTTTCAGAATCGTTGACAGAGGATGAAAGAACGAAAGACTATAAAAAGATCGAAGAGGATCCTATGAGCAAAGTACTAGTCGTGTATCGCGCCGATAGGGATACAAATCCTTCGTGGAAAAATTCAAGGGACACTTCGGACGTCACCCAGCCAGACAGATCCCTCCCGAAGGTTGAAAATACTTACTCTCTCCGCCAAAAAGATATCCCCGACGAGGAAAGAAATGCAATCAGGAAGTCTTTCAATTCTGCCGGTCAGCTTAGGTATCCTCAAGAGAGATATCCCATAGAACTCAATCTGTCAGAAGTTAAGCGTACTCCTTATACTAAGGATACAGATACTCTGAGATCGACGAAAGAGGTCTTCGATAATTGGGACGTCGCCAAGGATTCGTCGCAATCTTCGAATCTGAAACTTAGGAATAATTTCTTAGAAGTACATCCTGCGAAGAAGTCAGAAATTATTGCCAGAAACGATAACGAACAAATCAATTTTAATTCTTATAATTCTAAAGTTCCTCAGGGTTCAAATATATGGAACACGAGAAAGGATGAGGGATTGCTCGAGGATTCTCTGACGAAAACAAATACTAGACCTTTCGAGAATGAGGATGATGACGCTATGAAAGAATATTATGATGACGAAACCGAACACTTCATGGGTGAGAAAGATATAATGGAGTATTTTGACGAAGATGAGACTGAACAGGATCCTATCGAAACTGAACGAGATAATTATAATCCTCATGTTCCTTCTGAGGACATTTGGAAGGGTACAGAGAATAAAGAACTCTTTGACGATTTGCATTTCGTACGTGAAGACTCGCAAGAAATAGGACAACCGGGATACTCTGAGGAAAATAATAAATACTTCCAGGCCGAGCAAGACGAAGATGTGATTTTTAAAGATAAAAAATACACCGATGCTAAACCTGCTCGTGCACCTGTGATTAATGCCTATAATGCTTATATACTTCCTCGATATTTGAATGTTATAAATGATAAAGAACATTCTGCCAAGTCCGAGACGCAGGAATTGTCGGAAGCTAAGAACAGTGTACGTGCGAATCCTATAAAAGAAATGGATCGAAGGTTCTTCGAGGATGAGGCTATTGAAAACAACAAGCGTATTCAAGATTTTATATTTTCCGATGATATTATCAATGCAGAGGAATACAGTCCTTCTGTTGTTGACAAACGAAATAATGTAAAAAATAAGAACGAGGATCCGATAGAACTTGATCCTGATCTATTGAGCGACATTGAAGATCCTCCAGTAGCAACAACCGAATCGACACCAATGCAATCCTCTGTTGAATTTTCTTAGCGACAATAATAGAGTTGACATTATACAGATCTTCTGGATTTCAATTGAATTAACTTTTATTTAAGAATTTTGTTTTAAGAGTCGAGTTTTCTTAATAAAAACGTCAGCAGACCAACAATTATTAAACTATCAGTAATAAGCATTGACAAATGGCAACTTGTACTAAAACTAAATATAATCTGCCCCGATATTTTCACTAAGAAAAATCGATTTCAAATTAATCAACAATTTTATGAATGAAAAGCTTCTGCTTTGATATCCAGGATATCTTCATGTCACTATAATTTTACTATTGCTGTGAAATGTCAGCCGGAAATATTCAACTGAGACTAATGTAAGGAAAAAATGCTAACATAGCTTGAAGATAAAACGTTTGTTATTTATTAATGTTAATATGTTAAGTTTCTGATTAATTAGTAATGTTAAAATATACTTGAAGCGAGAAATAATAAAATGATGAGATTGTTCTTAATTGAAAATCTTTCGTTTAAAATTTTTTTATAATACAAATTCAGAATTTTGTCCGAATCCACTATTATTTCAAATAAATAAATCGCCAAAGAGAATTATTCATACGATTTTTATTTTAACCTATTACCTTTTATCCCTCCCATAAATTATTATTAAGTTACGTATCACAATTTGTCAATGCATTGATTACTCGTGCGAATTACTCGCACAATTCCGCAAATAAAACAATTTCGCTAATTATAATGATAAAAATCAATATTAAGTAAAATTAATGTCAATTTGCAACAGGATTAATCGTCGCAATTAAATTAAATAGATATTTTATTTTTCCTGCATTATGATAGAAAAGCTAGTCATGTCTTCTTAAGGCTAACTTTAATGAATATCGCAATTATATCTTATGTAAAATATCTGACTCCGTTTCTTCTTTTTCGATATGAATTTTCCAATTTTTATTGTCAAGAAAAAAGTAGATAAATTGAATTAAATTAAATAAACTTTTTAACGCTTATAAATAAAATTCTATAAGTCTGTAAATTTTTCTTTGTGCAATAACGAATGTGCTAAATCTCGTCATCGTGCTTATGAAACTGGATTCCGTCTGCGGAATTTGACGCATAAGCGAAAATGCGTAAAAAAAGTGAGTGGCAACATGTATGTTGCGACATGAACAAAAATGCAATTAAATCGACACGATTATAAATGTTTAATAATACGCAGCAAATTATCGAGTCGATTTTACAACAATGCTTACGCGTTTGCTAATGAGCATCTTTGCACTTAAAATATATTCATGATGCAATTAAATGCAATACAAATTTATAAAATGCCGTTACAAATATTCAAATTAAATACATAAACTAATGAGAATATTCTTAAAAGTCGCCAGTAGTAATTAACATAAATACATAAAGTTCTCTTGTAAACGTTATTAATTTTAACATATTAATAAAGTAGTTAAGTTATTAATTTTTCTTCAATAAGTTCTATATGTTATAATAATTTTATAATAATACGCCCTTTACGTTATATAGTAATATTCCCTTGACGTTTTTATTAAGCAAACTCAATTCTTAAATAAAAGGTAATTCAATTGAAATTTAGACTGTATAAAGAAATCTAGAATGTATAATGTCAACTCAATTATTGTCGCTAAGAAAATTCAACAAAGGATTACATTGGTGTCGATTCGGCTGTTGCTACTGGAGGATCTTCAGAAATATCTAAATGTAAAAAAAATTAATATAAAAGAAAAAATGCCAGGTATGAATTAAAGATATGAAATATTATCCTCTCCCATTGTTACGGATTCGTCCCTCTGTCGAATTGTGTTATTCAGTCCTCTTTATGCCTGAGACCATTTGGAGACTCACTGATATTAACACAGATAGAAGAATGACTCTGAAGTCAAATAGTGCACTGATCCCCTAAGATATTGCCTTATCCTTTATTCGGTCTAAACGAGGTAACTGACTATTATTGTTGAACCAATCTATATTATAAGTTATACTGTATTCTCATTCTGTACTTTCGATTATCTCATTGTAGTTTTTTCCTGAGGAAGACCCGAAGAAGGTCGAAACGTTTATGCTATTAAAGAGAAACTTTGATTCTATATTGTGAGAACCGAGTTTCGTTCATTTTGTGGCTTACTCCCTCCTTTCTACATAGTTTCTTTTTGGAAGCCTTCACAACACTGGAATATATAAAATATTGTCTACTTATTGGAATTAATAATTTTTAAATAAATTACAAATTTTGGAAAGTAACGCATTACAGTTACGGTTACTAAAAAACGAATCGTTACTTTGCAGTTACCTTCTTGCAATGAAAATAAAAATATCAAATCTGCATTTTAACTGTAAAGCATGGATAAAGGCGTTTATGTGCAAATGCAAGGCCTAATGCAACCTGTGGAAGTTCAAAATATATATAAAGTAACTATTAATGTAACTATTAAATTAATTACTGGTTATCGAAAAAATGTAACTGAGTAAGTTACAGTTACAGACAGCGAGAAAGTAATGAAGTTAGAGTTTCAAAAGTTTAAAAAAAAAGTAACTGTAACTGTAACTTCGTTACAAGTAACGAGTTATTTCCCAACCCTGCTAAGAATACATAAAATATAAATCATCTTTGTACAATTACAAATTCTCTTAAATCATATTTAGAGAAAAGAGAGAGTCCGCTATTGCAAGATAAGCTGCTAATACGAGATAGCAGGGTTTTTGCTAAATTAATAGGCATCATCTATTGGATTTCGTCGTTAATTTATTGCACTTGGCGTAAAATCTGTTTCATGTTTATCGTTAGATCATGTCATCGTTATGAATAAAGATTTGTGATTAAATTTTGATGTTGAAAACCTGCCATCTTATATTAGAAGCCTATCTCATAATAGAAAACTTTCCTCTAAACGTAATTTTCTTTTAACACAACCGCAACTGCATGATAACATGATGCAGATAAAAATTCATGTAACTCTACATTAAAGTATAAAAAACGTTATAAATTAATTTTCAACAAATTTTATGGTCGATCAATGATACCATCACACGTGGGTTTATGAGAACGAGGACGCACATATTGTTTAATCACGCATCGAAATCTGCCGATGCATCAAATTGCTCGCACAATTTCGCAAGCAACGCGAGTGGTTTCGTCGTCGACTCCGTTTTCGCGACTGGTCGCGGATTCCCTTAAAAAACAGGCGCGCTTGTCTTGGTTCATCAGTTCGATTTCGACTTCGATCAACGAACAATGCATCTGTACAGTTGCTGCGCGTTGCTCCTGCTGGCGCTAGTCGCCTGCCAGGCTGCACCCTCATCCAATCTGATCGAGGAGAATTCGATTCACGAAGCAACGAACAGCATACAACTGGAAGATGCTGGTGCGGAGAAGGATAGAGCGAAGAAATCAACAACCTTCTGCGTGGAGGTTCGTTCGGGAAAGCAAGAACAGGTTCCCTGCAGACAGGAGGTAAGGCCAGTGGAGATTGTTCGGCAAGACTCCAAACCGGTGGTTATCGTGCCGATACCATCACCGATGCCAATACCAGCACCGGCACCAGTATTTCCGACATATGTGATGCCGCCCAGACCTCAAGAAGTGAAACAGGAAGTAGTCCATCAATCTCCGGTTGTACAGCCTTCCCAACCAATTCCAGCTCCGCCTTCGATCATCAACATCGTACCACCTCAAGTTCCCGTACCTTGCGACAAACAAACTGTCGTGCAGCCCCAGTCGCAACACTTTCACACGGTCCATGTCATTCATCCGCCTCAGACAGAACGACCTGTGACTTTGGTCCAGGAAGCTAGACCGATGAAGCATATAAAGCCACCAGTTAAGCCAATGGTAAGAAGATCAATTTGAATGAATATCAATATAGAATAAACAGCAAACTCTGTAAAAATTGAGAGCTAGAAGAATAAGTTCTTTTAACAAATTTAAAGATAACTTCTTTTTAAAATTTAAACGATTACTATATAAATTAATTTTCCAACTAAATTAAATTGACTCCAATATTACGCAGTTAAAATCTATTTGAAAGGGGAGGAGAATAAGAATTTACATCATTAATGTTTTCATTTGCCCTCTACAATGCAGCATCTGCCAATTCCCCATAAAGAGATTGTTTTGCCGAGCAAACCTGTATGCCAGAGATGCAATGGTGTGATTCCATCCCACCCTGTGAACTTTGTTGTTCAACCTTCGCCAGCAACCGTCCTCAGCGTAAGTGGCAATTTATATTTCAGCTTTTCTAAAATCGTAGAAAAGAAATTTTTAGTTTCTTTTAGAGTCACGAGCTAGAGCTTTAAGCTTGCGTTCTTGCATCTACAACTTTCAAAATTTACAAATTTTTTTTATGACTGCATCAGGTAAAATCTTTTCAAATGAAATATGTTGTTTTTCACTGATCTAGGTGCTACCACACGTAGACGCATGCAAATATCAGGAAGAAGGACCCCAATGCAGCTGCCAATCAGAGAACAGCCCTACCTCTAGGCTAGGACCCTACCCTAGGCGCTACGTTATGCCTCGCGCAATGGAACATCCCGACGATGCGACTTTCGAATCTATGGGACCGTTTAGGTCTCCGATAATGTCTTTGCAAAGCGATCCCAGGATAATGTCGGAGCATCCCACCTATTTCACTTCAGAAGGAGCTAATAGAGAAATGGTAAGTGCCAAGTACTAGATGCGAATTAAGCAGTGATATGGTGCCACACTGAGATTGAGATGATACGAGCGTGATCCAATGGTGCGATTCTTGAAAAGCAATAAAAACCTTGATGCGACATCAAAAGATTCCTACATAGGCGCGCAATTATATTGTTTCTCTGAAAAAGTTTTATGATGATATTTTGTAAAGGCCTTCTCTGTAGAAAGCTCGACAGTTCAACTAGTAAGAGCTACATAACATTTGATTTCACGCACAGGTTTAATCTTTTATATCCTCGATGACCTCGTTAAGGAAATTGGACCAAGCAGGCTTAAAAGTCAAACGTCAAAAATATTTAAAACTTTGTACAGAGCACACATGTGCCTTCAACGAAAACGGTATTATGTATTATTTGTTCAACAAATAAAAGAAAACAATTTATTTGTAAAAACCCTCTCAATTGCTCTCCCTCCGATCCTCCGATTAACACCCAGCTTTATTATTATAGTCTGTAGATAGTGTATTATTTTTTAGACATTGCGTTGCGTTTGGAATCTTTTGATGCGCACCAGACAAAACATTAATCGTGCGCTCAACTGCTGAAAGCATACAGCAGAAAATAAAAAATCAGGAATTATCACGTAATTCACGCTGGAAGAGATCAGCGGCGATTGTATAATCCTGATTGTGAAAAGAAGATTAATTCTGAGAAAGATATTTGGATACTTAAAAATGTGTCATAAAATATGGTTTTCACAAAGAATTGTTTTCTTTTTACAGGAAGCAAGAACACATCGCCTCTGGGCAAAAAAGAAGTATTCGCCTGTGAATCTCTCGGTGCAATTTCCCGTCGTACACACGTCCGATAATGCCCCTAAATTTTATGAATCCGTATATCGACCAGTGTATACTAATCCAAGCTCTTACACCTACGTAGTTCCAAGCCCTTACAGCTATGAAAGCTATGGAAATTATAGACCCTCTGAATACTCTTATCCGGTAAACTATAACTCTCAAGATTTAGCAAGTGGTACACCGTCAGTCACCGTAAATGCGGGAGGACCATTTTACGGTCGCGAATCTCAACACAACCCATCGCCTCAAACGAATGATGTCGAAATGCTACCAAGGGAAGCGTTTACGCCTGTTACCGACACAATCGATCCCTCCAGCAACCAAAAGCGTGAGACTGACATGAATCAGTCGAATAACGAGCAGAACAAAGCTATGCAAACCGAGGTAACCAAGGACATTTCATAAGCCAACGTAGTTGAAAATATAAAAAGAGTAGTTTTTGAATTTTCATAGGTGCAAACGCATCAGAATAATTTGTCAATTAATTTAGTAAGAGATTCAATCTCGAGGCGGCTTTTATTATTTATTTAACTCGATGCCGCTAAAATATTGCATTTATCTAATAATTTTTTTTAATTTTTCTACGTTTTTCTACAATATATTGTAAATATTGTTAGTTTAAACGAATATATTTGTTTTTAATAAAGCATTATTTGTAAATCGCAAACTGTATGTTGTGGATATAATTTCGAGCACTCACCGTTTTGAATTCTGCACTCCCATTTTTTTAATGATTTTCCTGTATATGGTCCTTTCTGCGCAGTTCCCTCTCACCATAAGACATATTTACACACGCGATTTGCTTCCTGATCGCATGCTTCAAAATTATAGAATTATCGGAATCGAGGTTAAACGTAATTTTTCGAAACGTTACAATCGATGTTAATGGACAAATTCACGTTGTTATGTAAAGAATTTACCCTGCAAAATGTTATACATGCAATAGTTAAATTTAGCCTATTACATATTAAAAAATCATTTTTATAACAAAAAAATTGATCTTTATATGTATTCTATATATATTCTATATTCTAATATACAAATTTTTCTGTATTATAAAAATGATTATATATATATGCGTACATCTCTTTAGATATCCAAAAATATATTTTCTTATTTTATTAAAATTTATACAATAAACTGAATAAATTTCAACGTATAATAAATGTAAATATACAAACGCAAATGTTCTTACGGTTGAAATATTCTTCCGGTTAACTTAATAATGTTTATTTGACGTCAACGAAATTGAAACTTATGAATAGTGTTATTCACTATCTCTTCTAAATTTATTCCCAATTGCTGGAAACACCATTTGCTTGTTGCTGGACATATTAACGCTATGGCGATGGCACTTATTGTTACGGGAGTAAACAATATCCAAATTAACTGTAAAAAATAGTTATAATTAGTTATGAATCAATTGGGTATATATTTTCGAGATACATGCATGAAATATCCAAGAGACAAGCAGCCAGCTCATCAACATTGTTGCAGCTGTGATTAAATACGGAACATATTCCGGATGAAGAATGTGCCGCAAGCAAGGAATTTTATCGCTCAAATCGACCAGTGTAGTTTCCAACTGTGTTATTAAAAATGCTTAATAGCACATTATTGTAATAAACGTAGCTAAAAATATTGAAGAACTCACGTCCATTTCGTTCTCGACAGATTTCTGTAGAAACGATAATTTTGATTCAATTAAATAAAAAATCGCTATAAATAGTGATTATAACGTATACAATTAAATTTTACATATTGATAGAAAATAATGCTTGCAAAATGTGACTCGCGTAATAAAAATAAAATTTTGTCATAAATATGATGCAATTTCAATTGGTTGCATTAACATAATAATAAACTGACTACTTCGCTACGTTTACTAGTACTTGTATATACAGTGTGTTTATTAAAATAGTGTCAAAAAGCTTTCATCATCTCTTCATAAAGATATCGAAGTTCATTTGTCAATATCGTCATACAATGTATTTTGTATTAAAATATATATTTTATGTTTATATAAACCCTTTGTATAAATAAAATTATTATTGTGCACAAAAGATTCCCTCTTTTTAATTATCAATAATCCTTTCTTTATCAGCAATCAATGGTATCCTTGCATGCGGTTGTTTCTTCCATTGAGCTGTTATCTCGTGATTGATTCTGTGCAGGTTCGATGATACCCTTGTCTGTTGGTGACACAGCAGAACGTTCACCTTTTAAAGGTAGAATATCCTGCGGTATTTCTTCAAGGACGCTACTTGCGTATGGCACAAAAGGAGTTTGCATGTCGAGCTGAAGCTGAGCAACCCCCGCCGATGGTTCTTGTTGAGGAGTCGTTTCCTGTGGCTGATCACATTTAACAAGTGTGCACAGTTTGTGAAATGCCGAGGCTGTCATTCTTGCCGTTAGGATTGTTAGAAGCTGTACAGGACCAGGTGTTTAAAATTAACTGACCATGGGGCTATTTGCCCCTGGTCTTGGTTACATATTGCTTAATAAAATATTTATTAAATCGTATAAAAAAATCTTCAGGCTCTTTTAAAGTCACTTGAAATAGAAATAAAGATATGGAGACAGAGACAAGAGAAAAATTATAATTGGTATAGTTTTAATTATATATACTCACTCATATAATATACTCACAATGATTAAATTTGCAGCTTGTCGTAATAAGAATACAGCTGTGGGATATATTAGGATAATCGTTATTTCCATCAAACGCGAAACGGCAGCAACAGAAAACAGGATACCAGACAACATCAACAGAATTATAAGTTGGAAAAGTCCAACCAGTATCTATGATAAAAACACCTCCAAAGTTATCGAATTTAAAACAAGATTAGTTGCTCAAATTCTACGATCATAAAATTCGTAACTTAATAAATATTAAAATCTTAAAATTATATACATCTGTGAAACTCATAAATATTAAATTATAAACGTTGATAATAATTGTTACACAAAGGATCCACATCGCCGGAGTCTTCTAGTCTCATAAATAATTCGCATTCGCAGTCCTGTCGATCATAATATTTTCGCAATTTAATCGATTAAGAGAGATTTCAGAAAGATCAATTCATCGCATTTAACAAACTGCATTCCGCATTTCTTATCTTGATTCCAATCGACGAATGAGCTTAAATCTCTTTGAAAAAGTTACAACTCCACATGACACAAAACTAATTTATGTTAGTTCCATCTAGACAAACTTCACATTACTCTCTCAAAAAAAAAAAAAAAATCAGACAATGAACAAGGTGAGCGCCTGTTGTAGAAAAGAGTAGTTATATTTTAACAAATTACACATTTTCAATAAAAAAAGACATATAGAATATCATCTTTGATACATATGCATACTTTGATACTTCATATTAACTATTTATACATTAAATTTTTTTAAATATTTTACACAAAACTTTCTGCTCCTTCCCAGGCTTTTCGTAATTCTTTCTCCTGAAATAGAGTAATACAAGTAACATTATAAAAAATATGTTTAAAACTAAACTTAATTATAGAAATATATTAATATATTTCTATAAAAAGGACCAATGTAGCTTACTTCAGCAATTTCCTTATCATAAGCCTCTTGGCAACTCTTCATAAAAGCTGTAGTTTTTTCCTCTGTCACTTTAATTTCCGCTTGTAATTTACTTATTTTCAAGCTTTTTTCATTGTAACAATCTCGATTGTTATCTATTTTAGTTTTCTGTATCTTTTTTTCACTAAGAATGATTAAATAATAAATTAAAATTTTAAATTAATAATAAAAAGAACATAAATAAAATATTCAAATAAAATTCATAAGGCTTTGACGTGAAATCACGAATACAAAGCAATAAAGGATATAAGAGAGCCAAGACAGGATGTTAGTGTCTAAATGAATTTAATTTTTTAATTTACCTCAGTTAGGATAAAAATTTATCGCAATAAGTTACAAAATTAAAATCATTTAAACACTAACATCCTCTCTTATATCTTTTATTACTTCGTAATCGTGATTAAATATTAATTAAATATTTTGTTGGTTAAAGCATTAAATATCGAAAATTTTTTTTAAATTGTGAAGAAAACTAATACTAAAAGAACTTAAATCTAAAAAAAATTTAATTCAAAATTTATACAATATTACCTTAATAATTGTTTATGCTGATTGCACAGAAGAAGTATATCTTCACGGTGTGTGTTTATCTCGGTTTTTTCAGCATTCACTTTACTTTCGTGCATTGCTGATTCAGTTTTTAACTTACTGGATGTATTATTCAATAAATCAATTTCTTTGCTAGTATTATTTAATTCCTCTTTCTTGCTTCTATAACACAAAACATAAGAAATATATAGTACATATTTTGTTAGTAACAAATTAAGTATACAATCTAGATATGAATAAAAATTACTTGTGCTCTTGAAGTATATTTGCCAATATACAAAACTCGTTAGTTACTTTCTGAACTAAACTAAGTTTTTCATTGAATCGTTTTGCGGATCGTTTCTTGTCCTGAATGACTTCCTCCATTCTACCGCGTTCTTCTTCTTTCAATGCCTTTTGCGACTTGATTTCGTCTAAACGGGATTTATATTTTTCCGGAGAATTTATAACTTCTGATTGTATATCTGTTACCTTATCAGTTAGCTAAAAATATAGTGCGAATTAAAAATCTATTATTATACGGCAATAAGTGTTATAACTGCTTTGAAAGATCAAGGTTTAAATAAGAATATTTACTTTCCCCCTATTTATCCTAAGGGAGCTAACAACTTCTTTAGTTTTTAGATTTTCCTTTTCCACCTTGGTTTTCACTGCTTCAACCTCAACCACTTTTTTATCAATGTTTTCTGCATTTAACTCTATTTGTTGTATATCATATTCTAGCTAAAATATAAAAATTTGATCTTACTATTGCACACTTAAGAAAAAATCAAATAAGACTTAATATATGTATGACTTTATAATTACTTTTTCAATCATGGACAGCTGCTTCGCTTTGTGCATAATCTTATTATTAAAAGACTCAGAAACTTGAGCCTTTTTTTCTTTCAGTTCCTCGAGCAGCTTAACTGCATTCTGAATTTCATTCATCTTCTCAGTGATCTGTGGTTTCTTATGCATAGCATATAATACAAAGTTAGACAGAAACTTTGCTTGTTTCCTAAGTCGTTTATGCCCTGTAAAATTTATTTATATCAGCAACATTGTACCATTAATGCAATACAGTTCTCACTCTCATAACGTGTCGTACAATGCGCGAAGTAAGCCTGGGGTAAGGACCCAGATAGCAATGCATGTCTAAAACATGTCATAAAGACATGTCTTAGGCCCGGTCTACAATGAGTCGTTAGTCGTTAGTCAGAAGTCGCAATTATATGTTGATCCTTTTCCTTTCTGGGTGGAAGAAAAAGGACCGACATAAGTTCCGACTTCTGACTAACGACTAACAACTCATTGTAGACCGGGCCTAAGAGACAACTTTATGCAGTCTTAAAGATGTCTTTTAGACATGCATGTTATCTGGGGAGTAGGAGAAAGGAGATAAATCAATTTTATTTCTTACTCCTACTTCAGCTCTTACGCTTACTCTCGGCAAAATCAGAACGCCACCGGCCAGTGTTAAAGTATTTTAAAAAGTATGCCTCTATTTTAGCTTCCTTACGCCAGGCTTACTTCACGCATTGCGGACGACGCATAAGAGATTCCAGAAACTGGAAGTACTCGCACCTGGACTGGTAATGTCGGTGAGACAAAAGTCGTGTAGAAATATCTTTTCGAATATATGTTTTACAACTGTGTGTAAATTTATAAGATTTATCACGTCGGAATCGTCGTAGTACGTCATAGCGGTAAGTTGTTCCGAAATTGGCTGCAAAATTTTCGTTACAATTGAGAAAAATACATCGAGACGAACATCAACATCTGGTTGCTTCAAGGTGTTACTCAAAATTTATACTTACACCGATAACCAGTACACAGTTTCGACCACTTACCTGATCGATCGCGTTGATATCGATATGAAACCACGCCAAGAATGTTGACAATAAATTCACGACGTATTTCTCCGTTGGATTTTTAAGATCTTCAATGGTAGACGGCAACGAGGCGTCCTGTAAGATACGGTGCATCACGTTGATGGATGTATCCATGACGATCAAACCTTGCCTGCGAGTAAATCTACAAGAGATTAATGCAAAGTATATAAGCACGACATTGAAAATATGCCAGTAAAACACCGTCCACTGTCTTCCACGACTTGGGTGGAATTCTGCGCAATTTATGCTCGTTTCTACCACCACATATTAATTTTAATCCCAGCTTAAATTACTTCTTGTCTTTTTCCAGTTTGTGAAACTAGAAAAAGACACAAAGTGAGTTGAACAGAGACTGGAGTTAATCTGCGTTGGTAGAAACAGGCACTAGAGAGAAAATATCTGTACGGATGATCTTCGGTTAACTAGCAACTGCCAACAGCAAGGACAATCCTTAGGTCAGACTTCAGCAACGTTAACTTAAAGCTTAGCTTAATTCATTCCTTGCCTCTTTCCAACTGTTACTTTGGAAAGAGACAAACGTGAATTAAACCAAGATTAAAGTGACATTTGGTGAAACTGGGCCCAAGTCTGTATTAGTCGTAGACGTGAGGCAAGGCAGAGGAAACCTTAAGCCGTGAAAGTCTGTGGCCCGGTCTACAATGAGTTGTTGGTCGTTAGTCAGAAGTCAGAACTACATGTCGGTCCTTTTGTCTTCCACCCAGGAAGGAAAAGGATCAACATATAGTTCCGAGTTCTGACTACTTATTGTAGACAGGGCCTGTTGTACTGAAGTTTTTCTCTGCCTTGCCTCAAGGCTGGTCTACAATACATGGAGTAAGCTGGAGTAAGGAGTAGGAGTAAG